GATATCAAAAAAGTACTCCAGAGAGGTGTGCAGCATGGGGGTGAGTAGAAAATGAAGGCTAATCATGTTTTGGGTGTACTATTCCTTTAACGTGATTATCAGGTGATCTAACATGATGAGGTTTGACCTACCTGAAGTATGAGCAGCACCACAAAATAAGCATTGGCCACCCTCTGGAACTGCTCAAACAAGTTTATGGGCAGGAAGGTGAAGATATTGTACTTTGAGGTCTTAATGTGATTGTTCTGCATGGCAATAAATGAATAGAAAGAAAAGACAAATGAAATCATACAGGCTTCAGCTGTGGGTAAACTGGGAATCAAAGTCTAATAAATAGTGAGTCCTCCTCACCGCATATGAGAACTTCTCATTGTATTCCCGTGCGTTGGCTTTGACACGGCGTTCCTTCTCTGCAATCACAGACAACATGTTAAAGATGCGATACTCCAACTTTTTTCTCTGGTTAGTTTCCGTAACAACATTATACACTGCAAAAAAGATTAACTCTAAATACGTCATTTTCGCCTAAAATAAGTGCATTTTCTATTGAATTGAGGAGGGAAATTAGACACTTTGCCAATGCAGCAAGACAATTTAAATTTAAATAATTTTATTACTGTATTTTTTTTAAAGTGCATATTATCTAATTATCTTATTTTAAGAGTAAAAATACTCATTCCATTGGCAAATCATCTTATTAACCTACTCAAATTAAGGGTAAATACACTTAATTTAAGATATATTTACTTATTTAAGGATTGTTTTTGCAGTGTATAAAGCACTTTCAGATTAACTTGGGGCTTTTATTCCATTTATGCATGATTTCACTGGAAAAAAAATCCAATCTAGATGAGTTATACTTTTCTTAAAATAAGTGCAAATTTTCTTGGATTGAGGAGATAAAAGAGACAGTTTGCCAATAGAACAAGACAATTTAGAATTAAAATAAGAAAACACAATTGAATTGTCTTATTTCAAGTGCATATTATCTAAATATCTTATTTTAAGAGTAAAAACACCCATTCCATTGGCAAATCATCTCATTTACCTGCTCAAATTAAGGGTACATTTAATTTAAGACAGTTTTACTTAATTCTAGATCGTTTTTTGCAGTGTAGTTGTATTAACCATACATGTAA